GTACGAGCATGGTCATGAGCATCTTGAATCGAGGCTCTCAGGTGATCTGGGTAATCAGTCTCAGGGTCGTCCATCCCTTCCCACGACGGCTGAGTGATGAGGTCCAAGGGAGTGTCTAACTCTCGTCCATAGAGCATCATTGCGGGGGTCAGACTTGTACTCTCATGAGGTGCAGTACGCAGCGCGAAACAAATCTGGGGAAGATATTTGTCCCAAGAAGTGTGTTTGTCCTCAATATATGCTCGGATGGCTGTTTTTAACGTGCGGTTTACACGTTCAGTTGCATTAGTTTGAGGATGGTAGGCAGTTGTCATTCTGTGCTCAGTTTCAAGTGTTGACACCACATGTTCAAACAGTTCACTGATGAAAGGTGTTCCCCTGTCTGAAATAAGGTATTTTGGGGAACCATGTCGGGCGAATATGTCGGTGATGAACTTATTAGCAGCAACTCGAGCAGTTGCTTCCCTCACAGCACTCACTTCAATCCATTTGGAGAAATAGTCCACAAAAACAAGGATATATGCATTTCCCCTTTGAGTGCGGGGTAGTGGGCCGATGTAGTCCACACCCGTGTATTCCCATGGTCTCTGTGGTTGGATTGGGACCATGAGGCCTGCTGGTTTTCTCTGAGTTGGTTTAGTGACTTGGCACGAACGACATGACACCACATATTTTCTTACATCAGAGTTCATGTTTGGCCAGAAGAATCTGAGACGCAAGCGTGCCAGAGTTTTTGCAACGCCCAGATGTCCGGCTGTAGGATGGTCATGATAATACTTGAGCAGATAACTACGGAGTGCAGTTGGAGCAAAAAGTTTAATCTGCTTGAGTGGATGAAGACCACACTGTGTCTTCGGATCAATGAAATATAAGAGTCCATCTTGTACAATGAACTTTTGCAGATCTTGGTTGTCCTCCTCACTCTGTTGGTCGTTTTCGAGTTGGCAGAGTAAGTTGCCTGTGACTGGGTCCTCCAGTTGCAACTGACGAACATGAGGACGGTCTGACACAATTACAGAGGGTAGAGCACGAAGATCCATGCTTCCAATCACGGCATAGGGAGGCAGAAGATCCATGGGCGTGTCCACATCTGGGAGGGGGTTACGTGAAAGGGCATCAGGCACCTTATTATGTTCTCCAGGTTTGTGGATGATGCTAAAGTCAAAGTCCTGAAGGCGAAGAGAC